CAAATAGACACACAATCCATTGACCCCTGGGATTGGGCTATAAATATTAAACCTCGACTTCAGAGAGCGCCAAATATATATATATATATATTTATATTTCATACAAAATTTAAGACCACTAAATTCCCAACTGGCTGCGAGCGCGGCGTATACGTAATGTGCCATTAATATTTAAGCCACGTTAAAGAAGCTTCAGCTGCGTCTTAAAGGGAGCGCTAACCAGTCCATTTTAAAATCCGACAACCATTTCCCAGGGTCACCGTCATTTGTCAGCATTAAAAGTTCTTGGAAATTGGAGCGCCATCGAAAAGCAAAAAACACCCAATTGCCGAAGTCAGCAATGGAGAACAACCCCAATTAATTAGCATTTTGCCGCAATCTTATGCAATTTCATTGAAAGGCATTCTTGGTGCAAGTCGTATGCCACTCGTTGTTTAAATTAAATATGAACAATCACACGATTGTTCCAAGGAGTGAACTCCCATGGTTTTAATTACAAAACTAGCTGTTGGCAAACAACTTCGCAGACGAAAAGTCGTAACTTTTTGGTAAATTCAGAACTCTTATTGTTAGCTTGCTGTATATGCTTACACATACACTTGGACAAAAACTTTCATTCTTAACTAAACTACACCCGGAAGAGCAACTCTCGGTAAGTTTACCAAACTTATGCCAATGAAAATGGATTTCGAAATACGAATATTTATCTCTGACAACTTGTGTTCTATTGATTTTTCTATTGTGGCCTTACCGATATTTTCTTAGTTGCCACCTTTATCGGGGCATAGTCTCAACAACATTCTAAGCGTTGCCAAATTTGCATAATAACACATTGTGTTCCTTGCTTTTGACTTGTTTCCCATTGCAATTCGAATGCAATTTGCCGCAATGGCAGCTTTCCAAGTTCTTCACACCTTTTGCGTCAATTTGGGTCAAATGCGTAAGAATTACGGCATGTTACATTTAACACACACACACACACGCACACACACACACTTACACTTTTAACCACATAAGCTAGCCACTTTAGGTTTTCGTTTTTGTTTTTGTTTTTTTTGTTTTGCAAATTGCAAATCAGAGGGTCGCAAATTGAGAGCCAGGCCTGAAACGCTTAATAGCAATTACGAATTCCGGCTGTCATTTTGCCGGCGAACCGGAAGTCATTATCATGGCAAACAAAGCGCAACACGGACGGTATCCACACAGACAAACCACAACCGTTACAACAACAACAACAGCATTAGCAACATTAGCAACAACAACTAACACACAATTACATGCAACATTTTGCGCCTTTGCGACAACTTGGGAAATGGGTCTGGCTTCGTCTACGAGCCTGCCCTCATTATCGAGTTAATTATGTGTGTGTGTGTGAGTGTGTGTGTGTGAGTGTGTGTGTAACCAAAGATAATTACAGCTAGCGTTTGCCAATCTTGCCCAGCTTCTACGTTAGCTTGTCAATGATGTGCCCAGTTTGCTCTGTTTGCTCTGCTCTCGCATTGAGTTTTACACCTTCGCCTCTCATTGTAATTAATTCGCTATGGCGACTGCCCTAATGATGTGGTTTGGTCTATTTACGTTGATGAATATCTAAGGCCACAAGAGGCCTCGCCTCTAAGTCCGCCCAATAGATTAAGTACAAGGCATTGGCATATTCATCACTAACCGTTCATTTCTATGTGTGTAACTTTAAGTTAGTCAACTATAAATTGTGTTAATTCATGATTGAGGTTAACCTTATCGCTGATCTTAACTAATCGACCTTTTTTAAAGGTAGGTGTAAAATGTATAAATAACGTATATAAATAATATATTTTACTCTGTTCTCGTGCTACTCGTACTCCATTTAATGTTAGTCCTTTTAAGGGTTAAGTAAATATAGATTTTGTATAAATGGTTTTACCCGTGAAAATTTGCCAGCTGTTTGAAGTTGTATTTTTCAATCGGACTTACTGACCGTTTCATCTCTCTCTCTCTCTCTCTCTATATATATATATATCTCTCTTTCTCTCTCTCTCTCTCTATGTCGCAGTTCTCATTCGCCGTTTGCCGTTCATTATCAAAGACCCAACTCAATGCTTATCCTGAAGGTTAATTACATTTATCCAAACGCAACTGACCCCGCAGGACATTGACTTAATTTCCCCAGCGTTTTTTCTTTTATTTTGTTTTTTCTTCATTTGTTGCCTGCCCTTATTTCTGGCTGCCCTCTGTGTCTGGGTTTTTTTGTGTGCGCTTTTTAATTTTTTAATGCCTAAAAAATACAGCAGCAAATTTCAGCCAAATGGGCATGTAAAGCGCTACGAGCGATTTGGACGATTTTCAGTCTATTTTTTTGTTTTTTTTTTTCGCTCTTCTCTCTCTTCTCGATTTTGGCCAGTGTTGTGCCCATTCGAGCGACTAAATGGTAATTAAAAATTGTTGCATTGCCGCTCCAATGCGTCTGATATTTATGTAGTTTGGCGCTTTTGTAATTTGCGTTTGTTTTCGTATTCGCTTTTCATTTTTGCTCTGTTTTCTCCTACGAAAGGAAATTTAATATATATTTTCAGCTGCCAATTCTCGCTAAATCTCAATAGTAGGAAGAGAGAAAGCAACATACAATTTAATTAAAATTTTATTAATAAGCATGTTTACTGAGTCACTTTATATTATTTCGTATATTTGAATACTTTTCATTCTTTGAGCAAAAGTTTTTTAAAGGCCTTCCGCCTTCGTTTGTGACTTCAATTTACATGAAATGAAAAATGTTTCACAGCAAACCGCTGACTTTATTTTCAATTTCGAGATAAAAATAGATTCAATGAGAGAGCTCCGGCCGAAACTAACCGAAACCCTATCACGTAGAGTTCGACACTTCCGTCTCCGTCGTAGTTCCCATTTTATCTTTTCTTCTTTTTTTTTTTTTTGCGTACCGACCAAATTGCCAAAATCGAATGCACTGCCAAATAAATTTTGATTTTGACAGCAATATTCCGGGGGAAAATGCCAACTTTTGTGAGGCGTCAGCACGTTTCTGCTGCTGCCACAAAAGAGAAACAGTAAGGGAGAGAGCAGAGCAGAGCGAGAGGGAGAGAGAGAGAGAGAGAGAGAGAGAGAGAGAGAGGACGAGGGAAAGGAGAACGTGCAGGTGGCAAGCAACTGACAAAAGCAGTATCCGATGACGAAGTTGTCCGTGTGCCTCAAAAATCCATTCTCTGTCGTTGCTGGCGTTAAGTGTTGAGGCAGCAACAGCAGCTGCAACTGTAACATCCCCAAAAATCTGCCACAGTTGCAAGCTGTGCTCTGGCCAAGAGGACATGGCCCTAATCCTAATCCTGCATCACGCAATAGATGGGGCACTGTTACTGCAGCAACAGACAGCAACTGCAGTTGCCAAATGGCCAAGCCCCGTAAAGTTCTCTATCTCTGCTGCATACCCTGCACACAATGTTAGAGGTGAGTTGTGCAACAGTTTGAGCTCTTATTGTTCATGTACAGTCAACTGTATTTGTAGCTATGCAAATGACAAGTTGACTTACACATATCTGTATAACTTGTTTGATCTGCAAAAAGTCATTCGATAGGGAAATTCCCGTTGTGTAAACAGGATAGCTTATAGTACAGACTAAAAGCATTTCAGATCTGTAAAAAAAAAAAAATAAGAACAACAAACGGCAAATCCTGTGGAACTCTGTGCGGAGTGGTCCATTCAGGCGTTGCGAGCTTAAATATTTAATTTCATTACGTCAGATGAACGCGAGGCGTGCCACACAGCGGATTCACACAGCTAAATGCGCACTCAGAGAGAGAGAGAGAGAGAGGGAGGGAGAGGGAGATGCAGATCAACCGCACAAAACCCCAAAAGGAGAAAGGATGAAAAGGATGCAACAAACAACCCATTGAAGCCTCTTTGATTTCTGACTCACTACGTTGGATGCATGCCAGGAGGTTGCTTTCAGTTTTGAAGTGAGCAACAGCCGCGCAATTATATTGAAGCTAATATGTGAAAAAAAATGGAGAGCAGCTTACTAAAGTTATTCAGCTCAGTTTAAGCAGCCCTTCAGCATGCAATTTACATACATACATACTCACAGTGCCATACTTCACTCAAAGCCTTCTTCCATCTTTGAAGCCGCTACCCCAAAATGCCTTTAACAGTTTGCTGAACATTCCTGCGTTCGACTTGCACTTTGAGTTTTAGGTTGTCTGCTTACAGGCTTCATATCAACTTTGGATCTCTAGCCGCCACGCACACACACACAAGGCAACCACATCCGCAGGATATTGCAAACATGATGCTGCATGGGTGGTGCATAAGATCCGTTGCTCCGCTACCCCATCTTTCCCATATTTACTGAATTCAATTAGAGTGGCAGCTGTATGGTGCAAAACAACCATTGCCAACCCCTCATGTAATTAGCGTGGGCGTGGCAGGAGGAGGAGGAAGAGGAGGTTATTGGTTCTGCTTCTTCACAAATTGAACTCTCACGCAAGCCACGCGAAAAATTACAAATTCGAGTCGAATTTCTATTTGCTGGGACGCCGGCAATAATTTCGTCAATGTTATTGTTTGGTTTTGTTGCTCCATATAAAAATACCGAATTCCAAGTGGGTTACTATATACACGATTATATACACTGCCACAGACGATATATTGATATATGAGCACAAGTCATGCAATGCGGCAAATGATAAACAGCCAACGCCTTCCATAACGGCCACAAAACAATTGAAGCCCGATGGCACAATGGATAAAGAGGTGGAAATATAATAATGGATGCGTTTGTTATTTTAACTTATATTCAGCGTGCTTTCTCCAAAGTATGATGAGCAACGATTAACAAAATATTTGATAAGAAATCTGTGAGTCACTTTCATCAATTCAGCTTGTCTTTAATGGAACGCCATTTGTTCTAGCCAAGAAACAGCTGTTTTGTACATATTAAAGATGTTTTTCAAAGACAACTGTTTCTTTAACTTTCCTCCCAAATGAAACTCAGTAGCTCAGAAGGCAGTCTGCTAACGAATTTCATAGTGGATGCAGCTACAAAACAATCAGAGAATAATAAATACAATGACAAGTCGAACGATTATTTACGATTATGAAAATCTAACAGAACAAATTAAAGGTTTGTCTTGTCCTTGTTAAAATTGCACTGAAATAAGTAAAATATCTAAAAACTTGACAGCGAATATGACAGGCAATGCAGCAGCTGAAAACGATTCCAAATACATTTTAATGGTGACCATAGCAACAATAACCTGGCTGCTGCTCAGCTGCATAAGTGTGTTAAATGAATTATGAATGCTTGCAAAATGTCCAGAGAGAAGACAATGTCGTTGCAGGTGGCTTCATTTATTGTTGCAATTACTGGCAACAGTTGGGGAACTCAGCGGGCATAGAAACAGTGGAGCAATCGGACCAATCGGAACTGGACCAACAACAGCAGAGCATGCTGCTCGGACAGGTCGAGTCAGCGAGGTGAACAGCAGCCAAGGATTTGGGATTAGATGGAAAGAGAAGGTCAAAGCAGTGAACAAAGTGAAACAAAATAAATAAGCCAAATATAAGGGCTGCTGAACAAAGGTATGCAACCATAGAAGAGAGAGAGAGAGAGAGAGAGGGGAGCAGGAGCAGGAGCAGCAGCAACTGATGTCGATCATCTGCTGGGCAATATGGCGACGTGCAGCTTCCATTTCCGTTTCCGTAAACTTAATTCCGCACACACACACACACCCACACATAGCGTGAACAAAAAAGAAAAACAAAACAAAAAATCAGCATGTGCTGCTGTTTCCTTTTGTGTGTTTTCGTCTTTCTCTTTTTGCGCTGCTTTAGTTCTTCTTTTCAACAAAAAAAATATATGTTTTTTATAACAGCTGCAGCTCAAGCAAAGAATACACATATATATATATATATATATATATATATCCGCGACTTGGTCTTTCACTCCACTAAAATAGCGTCTTTTATGCAAATTTACAATGCTCAGAATAAGTAGAGCCCAACATGACTTCCGCTACCTAACTGGCTTAATTTGGAGAGGAAAATGCCAGCAAAAAACAAAAAACAAAAATTAAAAGCAAGCCCCAAAAAATGTATATTAAACTAAGGAGTTAAAGTAAAAGGCTTTAAGATAAAAAGAGTGAGACGAATTCATTCAGTTGACTAAAGTGTGGCGCTGTATTATTATTCAGTGGTTAAACTCCATATAATACATATCCTTTTGAGCATTTACAATATTTGAGGTCAGCCTTGACCGGAACAATTATTTTATCTCTCTTGTCACAAAAAACATGCCAAAATACATTCATTTAACCAATCTGCAACCCACTCAAACATACTCGAGGCGAGGACCCATTGTTTGTGCAGTACCTAAAAGTTGGGAAAACTTTTTCTGGCAGCCTTTTGTTTAAATTAATAAAACAACAGACACAATTTAACGTACTTTGTCGTACAAACAAACTAAAATTAACTAAATTTCCCCGAGCAGAGCCAAACAAAAAAAATAAAACATTAAGCAAACACAGCCGAAAAGCATGCTTAAACTTTTGCGCATTACATAAATTCACACAAACACACACAAACACCCACAGACACATACACACAGACACAGACACACACACAAGCATAGACGGGGAGAGAATGTAGTGAATGGAGTGCCGTAAGAGCCTAGAGAAAGAGCCATAACATTTATCATGACCACTTAAGGATGCTTAAAATACACAGGAAGAGCACGCACCCTAAGTTTTGCTGAGCGAGGAAGAGAGGGGTAGAGTGTGCTTGAGGGGTGGCTGATGTGGCAAGTAACCAACAACCACAACAACAACAACAGCAACGAAACGCTTTGTTAAATCAATTTGATAAACTGTCAATAATGCGCCATAATTTAATGTGCGCTTCCCCAACCACCCAAGCAACAACAATAGCAATAACAACAAGAAGAAAAAGTAGGACAAGTTGTTGTTTACAGATTCACTTTGACTGTTGTCATACGCAATTATTATGAACTTGGGGCGGCTTATCCACATCAACATCCACATCCACATCCACATCCAGATCCACATCTTCCTTCTCATCCGCCTGACAGCTGCCCTATTAGCACTTTGTAAAGCAAAGACAAATTTTAGGTTTGCCGGACAAGCGAAATGTTTGATTTTGCAAAAGATATAAGCAGAGAGGAGTGGAGTGGAGCGGAGTGGAGCAAATGCTGCAGACTGGACAAGAGTGTCATAAAGCAGAGGCACATAAACAGATGGAGCCCGGGTAGAAGATAACAATGGCAAACGTCGTTTTTGACGCTGGCGCAAATGGTGAGAATGATGACGACGAAGACGACGAAGACGATGACGGCGACGACGGCGACAACAATGATGACAACGACAAAAAGTAGGAAGCGGAGTAAACAGGCTGGCAGTCGGGGAGTAGTGGGGAGAGGAGAGAGTGGAGCAAGTATGAACTCTGGGTGCGTGCGTGTCTTGAATCCTTTTTGTGTGCACGGCAGGGGCTGTGGGAAACGACCTTCATAAAACAAACACGCCGATAATGAGTGACAGTCGAAGTGACGCTCGGTGCCATCACAGAGACGGGGGTTTGGGTAGGGTTGACGAACTTCAGAAGTAACCTGCCCAAGTGAAAGGATGGCATTGCAAGGCGGAAGGAAACGGCACATTTGGTGCCAGGCGCCGGCATTCGTCCTCGATTTTCCCAAGGTCCCCGGGAGTGCAACTAACTAGGCGATAATCGACATTTGATTTGGTGCCGCAGAAAACTTTCCAACTGGGTTCGTGAAAGGATTGCCGAAAAAGGACTCGAGAACAGATTGCAAATACTTACTTGCTACGTGCCACACACAGCCAAAGGCTGACAGGCATTTTGCCTAAAGCTTGGCTTTAAATAAATTAAAGTTATTGAACAACCATGTTGGTTGAATGAATAATTTATTTAGGCATTGAATCTGACATTTGATAAAGATGAAAGTTTCGTAATTGGCCAACAAGGGCATATGAATTATTTAGCAATTCTTTAGATAACTTGTTAATGAATAAGCAATGCAAACTTGCCTAAGTGCCGAGTAAAGAGTTTTAATTAAGGTAAAAAGGAATTGTAAGTTTATAAAATTATAGCCAAGTGGAAGTAAGAATGCATTTGACGAGTGAGACGAGTGCGACGACTGCTTCATGTAACATCTTTTGACTTTCTGCACAACTGCACTTCAGAGTCATTTGTCATCTGGCTTTGTGTGCGGGACTCATACGTTCTACGGCAGAAGATGTTGCTGCCTGGATACCACGTGCAGCCAGGTGGGCGTGGCTCTGGCTGGGAATGTGGACGTGGCCGTGACGGACTTGCCATTGTCAAGGCAGCAGACAAACGAATCAACAATACAATACAATAATAATAAAAAAAAGAAACTCAGAGTGAACATGTGGAAGATTGTTTTTGTTATCCCATCTCGGCTTGAGGAGGCCGGCAACGGGGTGGCAAGTCGCCACTTGAGACGGAGGCAAACTCGCGCGACACGTGTTTGATATGCACTTCACTTGCCAGTGGCTTAATTATTAGGCCAAAACGGTGCTAAGCACCTATGTTTATATCGAAGCTCTCTCGATTTAACAACAGCAAAAAAAAGTTATTTGTAAAACAAAAGAATGAAAATCGCTCTTCTAAATAGCAGTAAAATATAGAAAAAAGCTTATTATGTGTATTAAATGTTTGGCGAAATGCAGGCGGAATTGCAACTTGGAATACACTTCAATAAAATACTTGAGCTTGTTGTCAATTTATGCGCGACAACGCTAACAATGGAAGAATGAGAAATGAATATCGGATTAGTTCTGAGCTGTTGCCTGCCACTCAATTGTCATTACGTTTGTTGTTTGCCACGTTGTTTTCATTCCATTTGCAACAGGCAGGCAGGCAGGCAAGCAAGCAGGCTGGCTGGCAAGCTGACTTACTACTTAGTCAAGTCCTTAAGGATATCCCATAAGTTGCCATTGCATTATTCCTGCACAATTGAATGCGTTGAGGTTGTGGCTGTGCAGAAAAAGGAGAAGGACGGGAGACTGCCTCCCTTGTAAGCTGCTTGATAACATCAGCAAATTAATTGGCTGGGATAGAAATGTTTGTCATTCGAAGACAATTGTTGAGAACCCGTCCTAAAGTAACTCCAGATTTTTCAACATTCAAAGATAAAGGGATTAACAGTTGGAGAATTTCTCAACAAAAGGTTTTGATAATCGGGTTAAGTTAGAATTATCGGAATCAGTGTAGAAAATGTTCATCTGCTTAATGGATATTAATAAATGTATTGATGGAAAATCATTTTCTTCACAGTAGAAGTAGAAAATGTTCTACTGTAAAAAGTATTGATAGGAAATCATAAAGTAGAAAATGTCTTACTGCTAAATTGATATTAATTTATGTATTTATAGAACATTCCGCAGAAAACTAAAGGAATCAAATATTTGATTTTGATTCGATAAAATAGAACTAATGTTGATCGTTAGAAATTTAAGCAAAGCTTGCAGAATATGATGTGGGAAAGCATAAATTCTCACAGTGCACAAGTGAAGCAAAGCAAAATGGGAGAAACAACTGAAACAACTTGTTACCATAAATAACATCATATTTGAAGGCTGATGAAGCGCTTGGCAAAGCGCTGTTGCCAAACTTGAGCTGCCAAAGTTTGTTTCGACTGCAGTAGCTATCTGTTGTCGGCGTGATTTTTCGACATGCCCGACACTTGTTTTTGGTCTAAGTGATTTAGCTAAAAGTTTTCGCCCCAAAACAGCGGGAAATGCTCGGCAGAGCGAGAGCACAAAACTTTTGTTGCGCATAATCGTTGCTTATTCCGCCCGGAAACTGATCAAAAGAAACTATATATATAGTTTGTAAACATGGGCTTTTTCAGATGCATTTGTTAAGTCTACCACCATCAACCCCCATTTGAGGCATTATGTTTGTACAAATATTGTATAACAATTTGCGTCCTTCCATTAACACCGTTCAAGGGAAGGTAAATCAATAAGCACTTGTTTACCTTGATGATTAGTGACTCAAAGAGAGTATATGTGTGTCTGTGTGTTTGTCAAGCGCTTATTGCTGAATTATGTGACGACTGAAGGCACGCGTATATCTATGTGTCAAACACGTGCCACAATTGGTGGCACAGCTGCTACAGCAGCTCCACAGTCTGGTCATAATTCATTTGCATAACATTAACCTCTGCCCGGATGCCCGAACATGCAACGAAACCAGTTAGAAGGCACCAAACTCAGCTAATAACTACACTCATAAAAAAGGAAGTACATTCTGATTGAAGATACTCAATAAAAATATAGTAGAAAACCGTTTTGGAAAACCAAAAAATATTTTATGTATATCTTATCAGCTGTAAGTGTTTTCGCTAAGCATTTTTGCTCAGCTTTTTGCTTTAAGAATCACAGCTTTCCCTTTTGCTCAGTGGTGGTTTGAATAAAATATGGATGTTAACGCATAATGCGCAGACAGATGACTGCACAAGAGTGTTTAAATATGTAACTGGGTGTTAAGTGTTGCTTGATGATGCTCATTTTCTTATTATCATAGCTGAGCATGTACTTAATTTAGTTGCAACAGCGAAGGCGACTCGGCAGATTAATTGCCAGCTCAACTTGCCCCACTTTAAATATTCATTGCTTAGTCGATGCTTAACTGTTGACGAGAGCTGATGGGCTCAGGTAATCCCTCAAATCAAAGCAAATAAAATCTTTTGCCAATCTTAATTTCAGCTCAATTTATATTTATACGCTCGACACAGACTAAATTCGCATACATGTTGTAGTAGTGTGTTAGTTACTTTTGATTACTTCTTGAGGAGCGTGGAGACAACGGCGGGTGCGGCATAGGTGGCAACGGGGGCAGCATACGCAGAGTACACAGATGGCGCCACATACGAGGCAGAGTAGACGGAGGGAGCGGCAGCAGCGTATGTGGTATAGGCACGTGGAATAGCAGCAGCCGAGTAGACGGACGGAATGCCAGCCGAGTAGACGGATGGGGCAGCTGCGTAGGTCAGAGCGGGTGCAGCAGCATAGGTGGCAACTGGTGCCACAACGTGAGCCTGAGCCACAGCGACCAAGAGTGCCAAGCAGATGAGGAACTATAAATTTATAAATGTATATTTTAGTGTATTCGAATATCCTTTAACCAACTCAACTTACTTTCATGTTGATTGTGTTTGGGGTTGGTTTGTTTGGACGAAACGTTCTGAAAGATTGAAGTGCGTTGACTGATACTATTCCAAAGACCAACTGCTCCATTTATACTCGATTTGCTGTGGGCCCAAGAACAAGTTCGCTTGATACGGATGTGAATTGGGTGGCAGTGGACACTAATCTGCCATGTCTAATGGATTAGCATTGTTCAACTTGAGTACTTCAGCCAAAAATTACTCACTACCTGTAATGTAGGTTTTTTTCTATTTATGTATACAGGAATTCGTATTGGTTTTAGGCTTATTGTTTTCGATTTCGTTGCGTTGGGTGACAAGCAACAATGACCCAAACACGAATACTAATGGAAAAAGGCGACACAAAATATAATTTATGTATGTGTTTTTGGTTTGATTTGGTTTGGTTTGGGTATCTGCGCAATTTTAGGCCATAATGTAATTTACGTCATCGACAACTTGATTTACAAGCAATTGTTTAACTTTCCATTGACATTGAAAGGTGCTGAAAGCTGCTTGAATTAATTAATTGGACACTATTGATTTCTCATATGCTAGAAAATAGTGGCTTAAGTAAACAAATATAAAATAACAATTATTGTTTAGCTTCAATATTCATAATTGAATCTTTGCATAGCAGTCATGGGTTTGGTATTCTATTCTTATTGTTTTTGTTATCTATTAATAGATACACTTTGCTTATACCATTTGTATACCTTTAATGGTTTGAAACTTGACGGAACTATTGGAGCGATGGAATGAAACGATTTATAACATTAAAGCAAATTTCAGAATGAATGAAAAGTTAAACATTGGAAACCTTTTTATATACGACAATATCTGCAATTGCTGGAAACTAATCGAGTGTAAGTAATTCACGCTGATTTATAATATTGTACAAATTGTGTGCTGCTATTTTAATTCGACGTTTCCACGCAATTACCCAATAAACTATTTATGCAAGTATATTTTAATGAAAAAAGTTAAGAAATACTACCAATCGATAAGTATCGAAAAGTTTATTTAAAACATCGCCTGCCCTTGTTGTGTTTCCATCACTGACATAACTTATTGAAAGTGCAGATCATTATTGTGACACAAGTGTATACTATGTATAATATGGCCAGTCAAAGAGATATTTCAAATACACTTCGAACTGCACAAATGGCACTAGGCGCAATTCCCCGGGATGTGCAGACCAACACAGACGGACCGCTCCGTGAGCGGATAACCAAAGCTGTAAGTAGAGGGGAAGCTCCACAATTTTGGGCAGATATAGCCACTTCTACTACTTAGTGGGCGTACTACAATCGGAACCACATTCGGGACTTTGAGGCAGTGTTGGAGAATGCGCTAACGCTCGAGGTCAGCTCCCTGCCGGCCTACCAGAATGACTTGTTGAGGATCTACGCATTGCTAACGGGTCATTTTGTACGCATGGCATGCAGCAAGCTTGGCAAGAATCGTGTCGGCTATCAGGATAAGGTGCAGAATCTAATCGAGTCGATGGACAACTTGCAGCTGAACTTCACGGATGTGCAGCATTTGCTGTGCCGCGGATTTGCGCTGATCCTCATTGAGTTGCGACTTGACGAGGCCAGTAATCATTTTGTTACCGCTTTGCGACAAGTGCCGCACTGTGTTCAGGCGTTGCTGGGGCTCGCCTGTCTGGCGTACAGTCGTGGCGAGTATAAGATGGCATTGGGTTACTTCAAGAGCGTTCTGCTGCATCGTCCGCAGGGATCGATGGCCGATGTCCGTGTTGGCATTGCCCATTGCTTTGTGCAGCTGGGCGATCTGGATCGGGCGCGTCGTGCTTTCGAGCTGGCACTGGAGCACAATGGTCACAGCATAAATGCACTGATCGGCATTGCCCAGCTAAAGTTGAATCAACGCCAACCGAATTCCACAAAGGAGGGTGTCAATTTGTTGCGCGAGGCCTTTGAGCAGAATCCACATCATCCGTTAGTATTGACCTGGCTATCGGCCCACTGTTACTACGAGGGCAACTATGAAAAACTGCAATTGCTAGCGGGGAATGCCTATCGGATTACGGATGATCCATTGATACAGTCACAGGATTGCTTTCAGCTGGCGCGCTGTTTTCATGCGATGAAGAACTATGATCTCGCCTTCAATTTCTATGGGAAATCTCTCAACGAGTATCCGCATTCGTATGCGCCGACTGAGTTTGGCATTGCCCAGATCTACGTGAGACGCGGGGATTTGGTTAGAGGCGAGGAACTGCTTAAGTCAGTGCTCAACAAGCTGCCACAACAGCCACAGGCGTTGCGCATGCTTGCCACATTCTACTCGCAGTCGGGCAAATTTGAGGCAGCTGTTGAATTGATCAATATCGCCCTGATGCATAGTCCAACGAACGATTATGATATCTGGCTTGGCCTGGCCGATATCTATGAGCGGAAGCAGCTCTGGCAGCAGTCTTTGCACGCCTACGAGAAGGCTAAGTACATCTATCAAGGACTGTCCGAGTCACCCAGAGATGTGCCATTGACTTGGCGCAACAACATTGCAGCACTGCAATTTTACGCCAATCAATCAAAAGAAGCGCTGCAAACCTTAAACGCAGTGATGCCTGTGACTCAAGACGAGCATTGTGAGAGCAACATGCTCACACTGAAATTCAACCGGGCACGCATACTGGAGGAACTGCGCCAGGACGAGCAGGCGGAGAACATCTACAAGCAGCTGATGCGCGAGTATCCCAACTATACGGATAGCTATCTTCGATTGGGCGCCATGGCCTATAAGCGCAATAAAATTGACACTGCCTTGGAGTTCTTCAATGCGGTGCTCCAGCGGGATGAGCACAACAAGGCAGCCAGGTGAGAGCCAGATGGATTGCAGTGATATGCCCATTCATATCCATCTTTATTGCAGAAAATTGTTGGGCATTTGTTATTGTAAGCAGGGCTCCGTTTTGCACGCCTTGAATCACTACAATGCGATTCGACGGCAACCGCAGCATCAACATGATTCTGAGATACTCGTCAGCCAGGGCAATGTGCTGTTGATTCAAGCCCAAGAAGATATTGCCCGCGGACAGCCCGAGGAATCGAGGCGAAATGTGGAGAATGCACTACAACTGTTCAGAAAGGTAAGGTGAAAGAAGATGTTACCGGATTTGAATTCATCATCATTGATCATTTAAATAAGAATTGTAAATCCAACAATAAGTAATTACGTAATTAGGTACAATTGGGTTAGGCTGAACTGATAACGATTCTAACTAATTCTTCTAACTCATTGTGTTGATTCACTCATTTAGGCCTTAGAGCAAAATCAATGTAATTTGTGGGCAACAAATGGCATTGCCGTCTCACTCACCCTTAACGGACATCTGGCGGATGGCGAGAAGATGTTCGAGCTAATTGTCAATACGAGCAATCGCTGCACTGATGCCATCCTGAATATTGCGCACATAGCTCTCGAGCAGCAACAATATGCAAAGGCCATCGAAATGTATCGAAAATACTTGCAGGAGGACTTGCTGCCAGTGAATAAAGTGCAAGTGATGCAATATCTGGCTCGATCTCTCTACCAGGGTGGGCGATTTGAAGAGGCAAGGGATGTGCTGATAAGGGCGCGTCATGTGGCGCCACAAAATCGAACGTTACTTTATAATCTGGCCGTGGCAATGAAGCAGCACAGCCAAAGCGTATTCGAAACAAAGCTTGCCAGGCAGGAGCTACAAATAGCTCAACGGTGAGTTAAGAATTTCTATTAATTCCCATTAACTAAATTCTGTTGTCGGAGGCAGATTCTTTGTATATTTGGGGCAGACAAAAGAGGAAACACTGCGGCACAGCAGATGGGTATTGAATGCACAGAAGCTGAGCATTGAATGCCGCCAACTGCTGGAGAATGCAACCGAAAAGTTGGAAGATAATCGCCTGAAGAAAGAGCCTAATCAAATTGTCTTCGATGTGAAGTCGGCCCAAATTAAGGAAAAGGATAAAAATGAGCAAAATACTACAATAGAAACTACAAGTGAACAGATCAAAAGTAAATCGCATAAGAAAAAACACAAGTCAAAGGATTTAGATGATGACAAGGAAGCCACAGCCAAGAAGCGAAAGAAAGATAAAAAAATGAAAAAACCTGAAAAGTCTTAGCCGAGTCGAGTGAAGGGCGCTCTCTCGACGATTGAATTACAGACAAAACCACATTTGTTATTCTAGTCTTTCGGTCGAATGTCATAATTCGGACAATAAATGTACTGCAAATGTTCAACCCAGTTGCACCAAACCAAACATACCCAACGCATTCGTTCCTATCCAAATTCCAAATTCCCCCGAGGGCCAAAGACGAAATGTGCAAACAAAAAGTTTTCTCATACAATTTATTTGTTGAAACGAAATGTGACCGAGCTCCCACAGCGACCATGGCTACCATTCTCCAACGGTGTGTGTGGGTTGTACATTTGAATGTCGAGTCATGTTAAATAACCGCAGGACATTGGCCGGCGACTCAAATTACGTATACGGCGGGGAGTCCACTTTGTAACTGTCGAGAGTCAAACGAGCCAAAGTCAAATTCAAACGCGAAAAAAATATGCTCGCTCATTAATATCAATTTATGAGCTGAGACACGAAATTAGTCTGTGACAAGTTTCGCAGCAGGATGTGTGAGGACTTTACAAGCACACACACTCACACTCGCACACACACACACACAGACACAGACAATCGCACACACGTTTATGTTTGTGGCTGTTTAGTTTTGGGCTTCGTCTGCGTTAATTAATTCCAAAAATGTATTGCGTGTCCTGCCAAAAGGACAAATATCGCACACGAACTCATGTCATTTTTGTGTGTGTCCTGTTGCGTGGGCGTGTGTGTGTGTGTGTGCGCGCCTGTTGTCATTAGCAGCGACTCGGGGGCGTGTATACTCTTTAAATTATGAAAAATGTCTATAGCAAACGACAAAGCAAATCAACGTCAGCAAATGGCAGGTGGACTCCATCTCCATCTCCTCGTCCTGGAGTGGAGTATCCATCAGAAAAGACAACCTTTGACAGCTTCTCAAAAAGACATGTGTTCGTCATCTAAATTGAGCATTCAAAGCTTAATTAGCTTTTCTAATAAAACTTCAAACTGTCCAAGTTATCAAAATAGAGTTGAGCTTTAAATAAAATAAATATCATTACCAAAAGCTGCCAATATTTAATAAAAATGCTCAATTTTATTCAGACACGCAATTATAAATCTAACTTCCTGTTTGATTAAAACGCGTCGCATTCGTTTTCAGATTTAGTTCTTTATTTATTCTTGAACATATTTCACGTTGTTTTTGTTTTGATTCTTCCTTGGTTTTTAATATTAAGATTTATGTTTAGTATACGTAAAAAAACGCTTTTCTCAAATAATAGACCAAAATAAATAGAGAACGTTTTGTTTGGTTTTTTTTTTTTCATTTGCTTACAACTTAAATAATTGACAGAAATGTCGAAAATGTAAAACTAAGTTTAGTGACAATTTCCAAAATAAATCGAATGTAACTTTAAAAAAATATGGGAAGTTATATTTAGTTAACTATACAATACTATATATTCATATATATATATATCTTAATCCATTTATTCGTAATGTTAATTTACAATTCGAGTCACAATTATTATTTGATTTTGTCCATTGAAAAAGCACTTGCAATTTAGTATATGTATTTAGATGGTTCCAAAGAATTGTTCAACACTGGCAAAAACTTGTAGTTTAAGTGTTAATTTTTGTATTTTGTTTTTTTTTCTTGTTTTTTTTTTTGTTGTCTTAAAGAGTTGAATTTGAATATTGGGCGGGTGGCGAAAATGTTTTTACATACACATTGAACATTGGCGCGGGCATTTTGGATTTGTAATTACATATATACTTACATATATAGACTTGATATAGATTTTTCTTGCGACAACAGATGCTCTCCATAAAGTTTCTTTCACATTTAACAAAAAATATTATCGCTGATATACATATACATATATATATATATATATATATATATATATCTTAAATACATACAGTTAATTTGCGCCTAGTCAGTTTTCCATTAAGTGTTGTGCTATATATATTATCTATATATACATATATATATATAAGCATTATCTTTTATATATATGCCATATATGAGTCAGTAATTTAGTCAGGATTTGTTCATTTTGTTTTGAAAGGGGGATAGTCTTTTCGTAGATTCAATGTGACTAACTAATTTAGTTTAGACTACACGAGTTAAATGACTACAATTAATGCTAATCTTGTGATCGATCTCCTTGTCTCTTAGCCTAGTTATTATTTACAACTCGGGCTATAGCTAAATTCCGCATTTCGTTATTAATACACATATATTAATATATATCTATATATTTTCTTTTTTAAGTATTTGCTTTAAACTAAGTGTCTCGGTGAATTCACAAGCATAGCTCATTATTTTCACTGAAGTATATTTGCGTAGCTAATGTGGCTCAGTATTCGATTCGTGATTCGTGGTACTCTTAACTAATCAGTATTGCCTGGTTTCACCGAAATATGTCTCTCCATTCACACACATACACACACACACACACACACTGATAAATGCTTTATTCTCTTGTGGTTCAAGTCATTTCAGCGTCTGTAACTGCTAAATTCTAAACATTCTATGATCGCTCTGCCATTTCTTATATATGTACTTTTTTCTCTTGCTTTTTGGAAGTCTTATAAATTGTTTGTTCGCAATTTTTGTTATTTGGGAGTTGGGACGAAAGTATTTTGGATTATTACATACCTTTTATGTGTGTATGTTGTTTGTGAGGCTGCTTAACTATTTCTAGTACACATATATATATGTATATATATATATATAATACAGCAATGGATTACAGTTTGTGGGGCTTGAAGGGGAGAGGGGTTCTGGTTAGAGGCGGTATTCGCTGTTGGCTCTAGACAATGGTGGTGCGCTCAGCGCCCGATGTTGTACACGTACTGCTCCCCCCAATGCACACGATCTGACATTTAATGTCCTCTTTGGCTAACTCTCAGGAGCTCACCGTCTCATAGTTGCCACCACCAACAGCGACACCGCCACCAACCACGCCCAGCAAAGAGCTGCCCACGCTCAGCAGCGGTGATTGCGTACCCGTCCCCAAGCTGTAGGCGGTCTGGGCTCGGGGCGAGGTGAGCAGCGTTTGGGCAGCACCAATTGTTATATTGCCACTCGTCACAGAGCTCGTCATTGCAGTAGAGACGCCGCCGGAGAGGCCCAGACTGCCGGGATGCGGCAGGGTATTGCAGGCGGTGCCACCAAGACTGCCACTGTTCGTCTGCAGGGATCCATTCGATTGACCATTGAGGAGCGGCATCGTGCAGGTCGTCGTCGAGCCATACGGCGAGGTGGGCGATGTGCGCGTCTCATACGCCGGCAGATGATAGGTGCCTCCACTGCTGCCCCTGCCCGGTATTCGTGTATAAATGTTTGGGGGCGTTCGTGTGGACAATAGCGGCGGTGGAGCCGTATAAATCGGACGCTGTGCCGCCGGTGCTCTCTGCGGCGTGTTGTACAAACTAAATGCGGGATTGGTTGTCAGCGATAGTTCGCCATACTGCAAAGAGAGTGACAGAGAGACAGAGAGAGAGAAAAAAGAGAGATGTTCATAAATATATAATTAAAACTCGCAAGTGCAGCAAATTTGCATACGCAAATGTTGACAATATATTTGCTCACGTGTGGTTAAAAGTTGGCAACCAACCACAAAAAAAAAAAATAAAATAAACTAAAAAAAAAATAGCTTTAACTTCTAATGAGCTTGTTAGCCAGCGTGTAATGGCATGCACTGCTAGATTGGGGGAGGGAGCATGGAGGAGCTACCGCAACATAAACTAAAAAGCAAACAAAGCTAACTTCAAATTTGCCTGACCAAAGCCAAGCCAAAAAGCATTAAAATTTGATGTGGACCCTTTGGCAAATAACAAAATGAAATAAAAAATAAAAACGACAACAATGATGGCAAAGCACATTGTAGTCGAGTGTAACCGACTAAGTAATACTTTGTGCCCACTGTTAACTGTTCATTTGATAAATAAAAACCACAAAGTGGTGCGATGAGTGATTTTAATTTAAGATTTGTCAATTAAAAATAAACCACTCTTGCATGTCACCGATTTCTTAAACTTTGTCGCCACAAAGGTCAAACATGATATACGCTTTTCCCTCACACTCTATAAAAAAAAACAAGTAGGGTATTTGGTATTTTTGGGTGTGCATAGTTTTGATAACTAACTAAAGCTGAGAGTAAAAGTTTCATCATTTGAATATTTAACAAAGCGAACCAATTTATAAGCCGGGTAGTTTTTAGGTTTATGTGAATTTCTGTTAAGTCGACACGATTCTCATACTCTCTCCGGAGATTTTAGTTACACAAACTCATGGCTAACTTGGCCACTGCGGCAACTTATTGGTATCAATTATAAATAGTATGGCCTACAGTAATTGAATCTAAAGTTGATTTCTAGCTGGGATAGCAACAACGTATCAACTCACTGTAAATAATTATGGGTTATTTATTTACAATATTTGGCTTGGGTCACAACCGTAAGTATTCATTTTCCCACAATTTGTAAATGTTAACGAGAATATTTATCTGTGAATGTATCTAGACGGCCACGCCCACACACTTGCCAACACCCAACCTTAAATCAATTTGTGTCAATAACGTGTAATAATAACTTCCATGTCAAAACCAGTAATTTTTGGCTCTCGTATTAGCCAAGAGCTGTGTTGGCTGTAAGTGGATATTGCTCGCATTCAAATGAGGATAGACATATATATATAAAATATATATATATGTCTGCGACTCAAGCATATTATGACTTTGGTTAAATTTAGACACAATTTGATAGCCTTTAACTGTGCACTCAGTTTCTTGGCAGCCATACATAAAATACATACGCAAATTAATTTCAGTTTATGGCTTCCTATTTGGCGAGACAAAATAAGTTAACCGAACTTTGATAACTTTGTGCAACTCTTGTCTCGGCTATTTGGTGTGCTTCGGCCCCAGAAAATCAAGTTGGAGTATGCTGCAAGCCGAGATTTTCTAAGACGTTTATAATGATGTTCTAAAATTAAATTGTTTGCAGATATTTTTATATTTCTAAAGAAATTTCTGAGTTTTTTTTTAAGAAATTAATTGAAGTTGTACAACTTTTTGGCGCACTAGAAGCTTTTGCAAACTTTTAATACACAAATTATTATTTTTCTAACATTTCTTAATTTAAAATTTAAAGTGGATAAGCCAATTAAATTTTGTGTGAGACTGTTCTCTTTCTGCATATAAATATGCAATAAATACAAGTTTTGAAAACAGAACCTAGAAGTAGGCAACACGCACAAAGACCTCCGAAAGTATGCAGCAATTTTAGCTGACTGAAAAATTCTAGTTTTAAGTAAAATTGATGGTCAGATGCAGTACTGAAATTTCAATGTGCATTTCAGCTGTGAATATTCACTCGAGCAGAAACCACGAAAAAATCAAAGGAATTCGCTGGCGGCAATAATCGGTTATCTATCTGAGACTCACCTGCTTGCCAAATGTGGGTGATAGCGAGGGGGGCGGCGGCGGCGAGGCGGTGGTAATGCGTGACGGAGACGTGTACAAAATGCGCTGAGATTCCATATTCAAGCGGTCGAATGCCTTCTCCTCCAAATGGAACTCATCCTCGCTGTTGGCCTCCTGGGGCACAACATCCGGATTTTTGTCCTCCAAACTTGAATGGCTGCCCATATTGCGGGAGAGCGGCTCAGCGCTGCCCTTGTCCGCCTCGGTTGTGGTGGCATCTCCAGTCGCATGATGGCGACTCCGCTTGCTGCGAAACTTAATAAAGATCACAACGCAAATGGCCACCAAAAAGAGTGTCGCAATGACGCCAACTAGTGCACCCAGCAGCGGCGTCAATTGCACCAGCACAGCCGTTGACGATGCTGCAACAACAAATGCAAACAAACCAACAAAAAAATTGTATGCAAATCAGTAAAATGGAAAATCGAAAATGGCAAATGGAAAATGGAAAAGCCGTCAGCATATCGCGGGCTTGGCTTGGCGTGGCTGTCCAACTCTTACCTGTGCGCAGCAGGGGTGCGGAGAGTGTCCGTCCACGCACTCGATAGGCCACCTTGCTAGCCCCTTGGGCATTCACGGCCGTCACGCGTATGTTGAAGGCCGAATCGCTAGGCAGTCGCTTCACCATAAACTCCGGAAACTTATACGATGCATTGTAAAGTATCTGACGGGTAAGCTCATCGAACACCTGTGCATGAAAGTGCTGCGGAATGCCACCATCGTAGCCCGGCACGCATTGTATCTGCAACGAATTCGCTGTCGCATTGTACGCCGTACAATTCTTAACCGGTTCGGGCAGGTCTGTAATTATAATATGCATACTATTAACGGAGGATACTTTCATTGGTATGTAAATGGTGTAGTTTAAAACTAAAGTTCAGTGCGTGTTTACTTTGAGTTGGAAATCTGTTCGTGGGATAACAAGTTAGAAGGCTGCTTTTATATTCTCTAAGACCAACATACGATTCGGATGTTGATGATGATCAAGAATAGATATCGTTTCAAACATTTGCACAGCTCCATGTTGACCCATTTTTATAGATTGTTGTTATTTAAATAACCTATTAAATACTTGACCTCGACCCGAGAAATCCTTACACATTAACTTTTATTGATTATACTTGCATCTGATAATTAGCGTTCTGAATATTATTCAAACAAAAATACAGTTTATGACATTTAAATTGCACATTTATGCAACACTCTGCATTTATGCAACTTGATGAAAATAACAGTCCGATTTAAGCCATAAATAAATTTGCTGCACTTAGCTTCATGGTTTCGACCAATCGCCCCATTCTTTTGTTTACCGCTGCCATTATCCTGGTGACATTTCAGGCCATGACCGTTTTATGTACTTAAAATTTAACGCCAGCAGAGAGAGCCATTCCCCATTCGCAATTCGCCATTCCCATTCGCCATTTGCTATCGGCGATAGGTAAATAAATGATGCGCCTTGCAATTTATTGCATTTGATTATCAGATTATTGGCGACACAGATTGAAGCTGCATCAACAACAACAACAACAAGAACTGAATGTTGGTAAACTTGGCTTTTATTGCTGCCAGGGACATGGGCTGCCCGGAATTGCTGCAAACAATTGCAACGCGTGAAATTGCCACATCGATGCTGCTGTTGCTGTTGCAGTTGCTGGTGGTGCTGTTGCAACACTGCCCCACAGTTTCAAAATGTAAATAACAACGCGCCGAGATTCACACACCAAATGGTGTCAGCCACTTGGCCGCGTTACGTGCAACAATTATCTACTGGTCACTCACACGCACACATACACACTCGGTCAGAATGCGGCCAGCGCCTCGCAACCGCAACATCAACATCAACAGCAACAGCATCAGCCGCAGGAATTGAGTAAACATGTTGCACGTCAACGTCATTGTTGAATATGCTCGATGCGAAATTAATTAAAATATATATATTCCTCTTTATTTATTTGTTTGTTCCAGCTAACCAACCAAACGATTGACTTACCAGACAACAAACTCAGCAATAAATAAGATTGGCACATATGGCTGAGAGTGCCCGACTGGCAGATACCCTATGACATGTACGACTACCCAATTCTTACATATTTACACTGATAACTCACCTGCGGGCTGAATGTGATACCAACAGGGCTGGCTGTGGCCCATCGGGCTGTTGGCCACGCAGGAAATGGCGCCAAAGCTCTCGTAGCTCTCAACATGGTAGCTGTAGACATTGTTCAATGGGGGCGCACTCGTCGTTGTGGGCGTGGCCAGCTGTTGGCGATGATGCTGCTGCTTGTGCAATGCCGCCAATCGCTTTCGTTCCGCCAACAACAACTGTTGTCCACTGCTACCCGATTCGCTGGGGTTCTGAAGGAGCTGCTGCTGTTGCTGCTGCTGTTGCAGCAGCTGTTTGCGCTGCGGCTGCTTGTTGTCCACGTGATTCTTGTGCACCATGTTGGAGTAGACCATTTGCGTGTACGGTTGCTCCACATAATCCGTATAGCCATCGAACTCGTGCTGGTGCTCGTGCTCCTGCTCGTGCTCCAGGTCGTATTCATCCTCGAAACGGACACTGGCCGTCATGTCCACAATGCTGGCGACGCGTCCATGTCGGCCATGAAGCAACCGTTGCCCGCTGCTGCTAGCGCCGCTGCTGCTGCTGGTGGCGTGTGTGTGCTTCCGTTTGCTGCGCTGATAATATCCGCCATTGCCGGAAGACAACTCCGGTGGCAGGCTAAGTGCGGCAGGGAGCAGCAGCAGCTGCCCCACCTGCGGCAACTCAATGAGATTCTCCAGCGAGTTGTTGAAGTGCCACTTGTAATTTAGATTATCGAGTGGATTCGCGTCCACCTCGCAGGTAATGTTGATTGTCTGCTTGAGTGCAGCGCGTATAATCGTCGATTCCGACTTGCACACGGGCGGATCTGTGGCAGCAGCAAGAGAAGAACGAAAATAAACGAGAGAAGAAAAAGAGAAGGAGCAGAACAAGTACTGGATAAGGTCGAGTGCTTGGCCAAGTATTCGTTTTAGTTACTCAATCACGTACATTTCACATCGAGGTAAACTTCATTGCTGGACACGCTGCCCTGCAGGTTCGTCGCTCGGCAAAAGTATTGGCCGTGTGAGGACTTGGAAATACCCTGTAGCACCAGCGTTTGATTCGATATGATGATGCCGCGAGACGAGTGCAATTGTTTGTCCTGCGCAATTGAGACCCAGAATGAGACAAGAATGAGTTGAGTTTACAAGCAAAAAGGAGAACAAAAACATTTTTAGAATTAGGAAAAAACTCCCAGTTGTATTTGCCAGAAAGAGAGGCAGATAATTTATGTAGGGCTAGTTTGAAGCTTTGGTTACTTACATTGTGATACCATTCGACACGTGTGATGGCGGGATTAGCACGCACATCACACTCCAGATAGACATCGGAACCCTTAAGTAAATTGTTTGGGTCGAGTGGAGCGCCCAAATTCAGAATAACAATGGGTGCATCTGTACAGAATGAATAGACAGAGAGAGAGAGACAGATACTAAAACAAGCTGCAATCATATAAATTTACTCTCAACTTACGAGTCACGTTGAGCACACGGGAGTCCTTCAGAAAGAGACCCATATTGCCATTGCCCAGGGTTGTCATGACTGTCGTATCACCTTCGTGCAGCTGCTGCGATGTGATGCCCGAGTTGAGTGCAATGGAGCAGACCACTTGCCTCTCATTGTCCTCTGGCACGGGTATGAGCATTAGCTCCGATATGGTAGTGTTTCCATCTGAGGCAGTCTGTGTTTGTAGAAATTATCCAAAGTTATTTGAATGGATTAATTAGTGCGTCGCCCTTTACTCACCGACTGTGAGGCACCCTTCAGTATCTGACCAGCCTTCGACCAGATAATATGGGGAGGAGGACGAGCACCGATTGCCGTGCAGGTCACATGGGTGCGTGTGCCAGCAACAACGGCATGATTGAGACCCTGCAGCAGCAGACTTAATGGCGGCACTGTGCAAAAAGAAATGCGATTTAAGGATAAGTTATTAGTTTAATAAGTATACTATCTATTTGCAGGAATAAAGTGTTTGCCACTGAAATCACAATACGCTGTACTCAAAATCATCAGTGCATATCTATATTTTGGTTTTCGGTTGCTGTAACTAGTTCTTAAGACAAATTTTTAATATCTGTTCCGATCCCGTTTCTGAATTTCAATTATTAAATATGCAGTTCCGTTTGCGGCCTAAAAACTGTCAAGATTATTGGCAGCTCTTTGCAATAATGCTCACTATTCATATGTATATACAAATTGTTGACAACTTTACTAGCATAATACATTTACTATAAGGCTCACCATTCTCGAACTGTTTAAATAAAATGTTAACTAACCCACAAGCATCAATATGGGCAGGCTTATACAAGCTTTACTGAATTTACTGTTGTGTTTTGTCTATGCACAAAACTTTACAACCAGCATAAAACTGGAAACAACCTTATCATTATTGCACTGTTTGCACTCGAGGGATCCGTAATGCGATTAGCATATTCACCTAGTAAAACAAACTACACCCTTCACTCTCCTGCCCGCTCACAGCTTAACTACTTAGTTTTGCTGTCATAAATGCATAAACAACGCGTAACCACAATGACAAAAACTTTAATTACATTAATTTCCATGAAGGGCGAATCGCCCACCAACCCCCCTCAAAGCCGTGCCAGTATCTGGCCTTGAACTGTTGACATTTGGCCAACTGACTGCCCACGTTGAGTCGTAAACATAATTACAAATGCCAACACAAAACTGACTGCAGCAGCAACATTGTGGGTGGTTGAGGAGTTTATCAGCATCATTTGAATAAAATTTGTAATACGAAACGGGACATGCATATTAAAAGATGATTGTTCCCTCTTCCCCCCTTTCCCCTCCCACCAACAAACTCCCACAACTTACAGTTCATATCGAGTATAACTTTTTTGGTCAATGCCGGAACAACATGGCCATTGGTCGCCTGGCAGGTGTACATCTGCAAATGGAAAAAAGAGAGAAAACAATATGGTTGATTTATGCATAATACGATAATTGGTCGTCTATTAATACAACAATATACAAATTACAATATATACAATATGCGATAAAATATTGGCGATAATGGAACGTCTGCAGGATGATAAATCAACCTTGAGCTGAAGAGGTGAACATTTAATTTTAATTGCTTGAAATGCTTGTCGAACACGCAAACACTGAGCAAAAGAAAATAAAGAAAATAAGAAAATAATATACAGAGCAAACCATGCTTCCAACGCACCACCCATCACCCACCACCCACCACCCACTACCCACTAGCCAAGCCAACTGCTCCAGAAAATGTTAATCAATTATGTTACGTTCCACAGGCTTCGCTGTGCTCTGTGCGCTTGTAGCAGTATTAATATCATAAATTCTGTAGCTTGACTTGTTGCCGTTGTTGTTGCTGTTGCTGGTAATGCGATACTTTCTGGCCATATACGTTTCCAATGCGGACATTTTATTGAGGCACGAAAATTGTAACGATGTCTAGTAAAAATATTTGCATAACTTGGGGGAAAATTAAAAGCAGGCTAGCTATAGATAGGCTACTAGCCCAGACAGTTGGCGACCAGGCCAGTCTGTCAAAGTGTCGTTTTTGGCTAGGAAATTAGGTCATAAATTTTCTTTGGGTTATACAATATGTCTTCAATAGCATCGCCAGGTGGGGTCGCAGTGGGTCATCGTTTGTGTCCCGAATGTGTTTATTGCTAATGTACAATGCATTTCTTGTTTGTTGTTATTTTGTTTCTCGTTTAACGGAATTGCTTTCGATATTGAAATTTGTGTGTTTCTCGCTTTAAAAGACCAATACCAATTGAGTTGCCTCTTTGTGTTGAGCTGTTAATTGTGTTTAAATGGAGTTTGAAATGGATTGATTTCCAAGCGAACTGCTTGACTTTAAAGCTATCGCATTGCTGAATAGCTAATGTTTTCCAATTTACATTAATGCACTTCACTAAATTCATGTTTGTTGTGCTTTAATTTCAAATTTCGAGTAGTTGTAGTTTAAATGGGATTATGTCGTTTGATTTATGGTGGTAGTCGTTAAGGAATGCACTCAACTGAATAATTTGCGGTGACTTGAATCCAACTGAGTGATTCTTAGGTCTCTTCACACTACACTGGAGGAAAAAGTAGCTTATTCATTCATCAACAATAATTGTATGTGAACAACGAGAATTTATATTCCAAAATTTGAAGTATCAGCATGTACTTAATGGGGTCGAAGATGCTTTATAAAGTTTCGTATAATTTCATTATGGGTTCGGGGTATATTTAAGTAAAATTCTATAAGCTAATTGAATGTTACTATCGATTACAGATAATCATTTCAGATGGAGTAAATGGTAAGCTTATTTTGGGTGTAGATTTTGAACAGTGTACTTATATTTGTCATATGCTAGCGTCCAGCCAAGAACTTATTCAAGAACCCTCAACGTTGTCGACTAATAATTTTGGGCTTTAGCACCGCACAAGGGGTTTTTCAAGTGATTTCTAGACCAGCATATTAATACGGGTTTCCTTCACAATGCTTGCCGCGAACACAAAAGAGCCGTCATTCACAAAGGCCTACAATTTGTACAAGTGGGCCGACAAAAGAGAGAGAGAGAGAGGAAGACAGAGAGAGAGAGAGAGGTGCTGTTGAATAAGTGGATTAGCGGCGGTCTAACAATATTGTTCATTACCCAAAAGCAAAGCGAAATCGGCTTAGAATTAACTGCCAACAATATATTCCATTCCCCAATGCAGTCGCAGCTGCATTCGCTGCCAACGCGGCTGCATTCAATTCGACCAGGCGCTCTGATTTCTATTAGCTATTGTGGGGACTCCCAGCTCGTACTGGGACTTAGAGCTGTTGGCCACACCGAGCGTTGTCGTTAATGTTGGGTTTTCTGTGGCTAAGCGAAATAAATGGTCAGCGTTTGGCCATTGTGCGGATGGGTTATAGTATTGTATAGAAGCTGCTGGTGCTGCTGCTGCTGGTTCTTTTGTTGGCTTTACTCATAAATAAGGTTTACACGGGAATGTTTTGTGGGTGAATGTCAACGATGGCCACTTACCGTTAGCAGATCCTTCCGCTGTATATTCTTCAGGTGGAGGGCATTGCGCACCGAGCCATCCGGCAGCACCTGAAAGGAGTCATCGACAAGAGCGTGTTCACGCCACCAGGATACCCGTGGCGGGGGAACACCCCCGCTGGACAGACAGGTCAAATTGATGCTATCACCCTCGAGATAGGGTCCGGCCGTTTGATCTCGGACCGCGGCCCCGTGATGGTCCAGTATGGTCAACTGAGTGGGTGGCACTGCAAATGAAAACGAAAAGCGCAAAAGCGAAAATGGCAAATGAAAGTGATGTAATAAAGCGACAAGAGACTTAAGGGTCTGTGATTTTGCTACGTACCAAGGACTGTCACATTAATGCGCCAATTGCGCGTCGGTGATTTATGGAAATCAACGCGACATTTGTAGAGCCCAGCATCTGTGGTCTGAATGTTCTTGATGCGCAAAGCCGGCGGATTTGTGTCATAGTAGAAGTGAGCCTTTTTGTTGAAGACATTTTCATCGGCCCAGGGCACCGCCTGGTGTAGTGGTCGACCTCTCGCATCGAAGCTGTAAAACGAAGTTGAGTAGTGTAAAATATATTCAATTAGATTATTCACAATTTGCATATTTCAAATGTCACTAAAGGGCTTTTACACTGTAATTGAATTTACTGAGTGCTTTTTTCTGTTTCCATTTACAATTATTCGACATAAATATTTATATATATATTTTAAATATTTGGTAACTCAAAATGGACAGCTGTTGGCCAAAGCCAACAAAAATAAATGGCATTTAATGTCAAAGCTTTCCATAATAAGCCATAACTTTATCAAAAGTGATGCGATTTTCAAAAGCAATATAGTTTTGATGTTGGTTTGAGCTCTTGTTTAATCCCGCATTCAAAGTTGAAAACTTAAGTCTGGCTCGAAATTTATGATAAAATGATCAAAAAGTGCTCATTGTCAAAACTAAAACGATATCCAAGCACCAGGGCATTTTAATCATGGTTTGACCTGTAGATGAAAACGACATTCTAAATTGACAATTTAACAAGGTGAAAACTTTGAAGTTTTAAACGCGATTCTGACTCCATTTCCATGTAAAAATCTTACCGTCAAAAGTGCTAGTTGGGTCAAACTTGTTCAATGCTATAATTTAGCCAAAACTTAACCGATTTTTAACAATATCACGGCCTGAAGATTGATACAACGTTTCAATTATAATGGTTGGCAAAGTTCTTTGCAACGGGTGATTTTTCGATCAATTTTACCATTTCATCTTCATTCGTTTGTAAAGTTAGTATCTCTTTCTGTAAGAGTTCAATGCATTTGCCATTCAATCATTTCACATACCAAGCACGTCTCAAGTCCGACTAAAAAGAATAACTATCAAATCCATAAAGTAGCTGCCTTCGTACACACCCCAGGGATTATTGCACAGGCAGACATTCACTAGAGGATCGCTTTTATAGACATCAATCGATTTTATTTGGTGGCAATTAAGAGAAAGAAACAAAAACATAGCTATGTAGAGAAATGTGTGTCAAATCAGAAATGAAATGGGTATATAAAAATCGCTGAAAATGCAAACAAAATCTAAATCTGGCAATCGCCGTAAAAATAGAATGTCTCATTAGCTTTCCCCAGCAAACAGAATGCCAGTCCAATCAGAACCAACAAACAAACAATGGAAAACCAAGAGAAAAAGCAAAAAAAAATAGTTTTTTATTGTTATTGGCAAATGTTTTTTGTTGTTGTTGTTCTTTTTTATGGTTGTCTCCATGCATTTTGACAAAATGCCGCATTAAATGTCAACGCCCCAAAGTTACAGCCGACCAGAAACAACAACAAATCGTAAATAATCCAAAGTGCATTTCAGAACTTTCGATTTTATGTATTTTTTTTTCAGAAAATGTTCAGTTTTTCCAACATTTTAAATGGTTACATTTAAATTGTATTTTTTTCAGTCTCTGTTTCGCTCAGTTTTACATTTCCCTTGCTCTGCTCCCCAGTCGAATTAGTTTGCCTCTTTATGTGTGTGGCACTTAATTTGATGACACTTGTAAATTTTTAATTTGTTTTATGTTGTTGTTTTTTTTTTCGAATTTGCGCTGCCCTTTTTGTGTATTTTCGCCCCTACCCTCCTAAAGAGCCACCCATTGTTGTTGTTGTTGCTGTTGCTATTGTTTGCTGGTCTGGTTTTCCCCCTTAATGCACTGGAGACCAAAATAAATTTCGCTGTTTATGTTAATTCATTGGCTGGGAACAGTGTTTTCATTTTTTATAGTTTGCTTCAATTAATTAATTGATCAATTTAGCGCTGTTTGTTTGGGTGTAGCATTTTTTAAGCCGATTTCATTTGAAATTAAGTTTTTATATTCCACTTTACTTATTTGACCAGCGCCATCATTTAATCACCTTTAAATAGGCTAAAGCCCGGACATTAAAATATTTATCTTATCATAAAAAGCAGAAGCATAATTTTTTTTTTTTTTTTGTGGTCGCAAAGTAAAAGTTTAAATGTACAAATGCGCATATGGATTTATCAGTTCTGTATTCGCTGCTATTTTGAAGCTGGAACACGCTAGGATTAAAAAAGATTTTCATATATTAAATCTGTTAATGAGCGAAGTTTTTCCACAGCGCAAAAGAAATCAAATCAAATCAAAAGCATATATTGGAAACCTTAAATCAAGTTTGTTTAGCTTCTCACTTATCAATCATGACAAACACATTTTTGATTTGAGATTTGATTTACGGATTTTTTTTTATTACGGATTTTTCACCACAAAATGAATTTATTTTTGTAGATTACTCCACTGATAATTTTAATTAAATATATATATTGAATAATTTCTGGTTTTAATCTTATGGCGTTCACGCGCTGACCTGTCCAGCGTCACTTAACCTCGGCTCAAGTAGCATTATGTACGATGGCCTGATATGAAAGCATTCCCCCTAGATTATCGCACATCTTGAATATATCAAAGAGCTTATGCATGCATATCAGCTCCCTCTCTTTCAGCCCCCATATGTCGCTGGTGATTTATTACAAGGAAAAATTCAAATGCATCCAGACTCCTAAAATAAATCCAAAAGTGACTGCATTGTGTGGCAGAAAGGAGTACGAGAGTAAGTGCCACATGATGGATGGTTATTTCTTAATGGATTTACAGATAATTAAATTAGGTTCAACAGCCAAAAAAAAAACGAAGAAAATTGTGAACTGAATTCGTAAATCACCCACAAAATGGGGCCAGAGGCTACTTATAAGTTGATTTGGCCTCCATGCTCAATATCTCGAAGTACATAAATATAGGTATATATATATATATATGCACCCTGGGCAGCTAAAGGTCATTGATAGTGGGTGGGGCGGGCAGTTGTACCTGACAGCAATTGGGCAACAAAGTTTTTTCATGTAATTAATCTTGTCGACCTTCTCTGGCATATGGAAATTTCACTCGCTCTTCAGAACAACAGCAACAGCAACAGCAACACTGAGAAAACAACGAAAATTTATGAAGTGTAGAAAAAAGCAAATTAAAATTGATGGAAAACAATAAAAATACAAAATGCGGGCACAAGCACGGTCATGGGTGAGAAAATAAAACAAAAAACGCTTTATTTGGTAGCACTTCAGATCGGTTGTAGAACGATAGAGCGAGAAAGAAAGGTGTGATGAGGGGCAGTAAAGTTTATGGTGGGGGTTGCGCGTTGGGGGTTGGGAGTGGGGAGTGGGGAGGCGGTCATAAAATGCGGTACTCGGAAACTGTAATTGCAGTCACCGCAGCGAGTTTATATTGTAAAATCAATCGAACCACATGAATGCACATTTAACTTTGACACTTTGACTGCGCCCATAATCGATTCGGGCTGCCAAAGTGTGCGGTAGGTGTGGGTGTTGCTGTGTATGTGTGTGTGTGTGTGTGTAAGTGTAAGTGTGTTTGTGTGTGTGTTCGCCAAGGTTGTCAGAGTATGTAAAATCAATTTCTGGTCTTGTGAGCAACGGTATAACATCTTCTGTACCCTTTTAAGGGCTCAAGGCAAAACATTCTTTTGTGACTTGCTGATGCCCCAATAGTCAACTTGGCATCTAAGCACATAGTATATAAATATATACACATATATATATATATATACATGTTTATATATATGACATTCCACCTGCTAACAATTTGGCATATTTCTGATTGCTTCGCTTGTTAAAAACCGTTTAGAGCTTGAAGCTGTTCACCTGTCACAACCCAACAAAACAAGAACAACAACAACAAAAACAGCAAAAATAAAAATAATAATATCAGGCCAAAAGATGCACGTACTCTGTGTGCATATATGGTCGGGGTGGGGAGGGGCACTATGTGTGTAAGTAATGCTTATATCGTCAAATTCAACATAAATGGCTAACGCTAATAGAATTTATAATGAGAGCGCACCTCAAGTCGCGTGTGTGTGTCGACATCTCTTCAGCTTTTCATAATTGGCCCAGAGCACAGGAAACCAACCCAATTCGAAAAAAAACAAGAAAATTGTTTTTTTCTGTCAAATAAGTCGTTGCTGCTTGTTGGCAATGTTACCGTTGTTGTCCTATGCCATTGAATAAAAATCCAAAAATATATATATTTTGCCAATTTTTCAGTTATTCAGTTAACTTTGTACGGGGGTGTTACTTTAATGGCATCTTACTTGGCAGATTAGAACGCCTCTTAATAAAATTATTGCTAAGAGGATTTCATGGACTTTTAAGTACTGCTGAAGATGTGCGAATATTTATAAGAATTCTTGAGAATTCTCGCTTAAGTAAAGGTGTATGTTTTTTTAAGTCCCGCAAAACGAGCTGCGTAAAATGAACAAGTGAGTATACTGTAGTTGAGACAGCTCTACTTGGAGATACCCTGTGCACAGCTAGTAAATATATTCTAGACTAGATAATTTTAGTTTATTAAATACCAATATGAATTTTGATTGGGAAAATCTCAATTAGTTGTAATTAATTTGTACAGTTGATTAATAGCAAGTCTGGTATATAATATGCCAGTAAGAATGCAAAACTCTTACAATAGTCTCTTATTGCTATCGGGAAACGATTTGGGTCGATAAATAAATTAAGGAATAAATAATAAATTAAGTGATAAATATTCCAAATTTTGAGTCTCTAGCTTGTTCATATTGACAGAAGGGCGGACATAACTAAATTCACTCGGTTTTTGAAGTTGTAGATGTTCCCGTCTGCTCGTTACATACCCTTGCTGAACTTCATTAATTTTAATTGGATTAGGCCACACAAATCACATACTTAAATGTTATTACACCCATAATTCTTAATTTAGGTACTTACCTATAGATGGGTTTCACATTTCCCTCACGATACCAAATAACGATTTGAACTTTATCGGCGATCATTGTGCCGGGCATTAGATCACAAGGCAGAGCCACCTCTGAACCGACAGCTGTGAGCACCTCCGATAGAGGACCTGCAAAGAGAGATAATTAATATTGGAATTGACTTTGTCTTTCAATTATAAATAATACATGAAATTCAATACAACTGACATACGAAATTATAATAAAATGCTACAGCTGTAATTTGTATAAATATTCGCTTCGTTGCTGAGGGCATAACTTAATTGAAATATATGTGAACTTTGACATTGTGCGTAAGCCTTCTTTGTGTAGAAGTGTGTGTTGCTGTTGTTCTGTGTTGTAGTTGTTGTGTTGTTGTTTGGCGTGTTCCCTAAGCACGCGTTTGAATACTGTGCTACATTGCTATAACCATAAATTGACTGACAGCTTGATTTCCTTTGATGATAAGACTGGCGCTGAAAAGGGGTAACCAAAGCGTGGTCTGACTGCAATTAACACTCAGAGAAAAACTTGGGTATTAAAGTCGTATTCAACTCCTGACTATTTTCTTCAAGTTTCAGGTAGAATTCGATCAATTTTTAATGACAGTAAATTAAAGTTAGGACGCAATAGAATTTAAGCAATTTTATCCTAGTAGAATTTGATTTTTCAATAGATATAAATCTTAGTTCATTAAGGACCATATTATCATTACGAGCATTGATTTTTAAATACTGACACGATTAATTCAAGAAATTGAGCATCTCGAATCTTGAATATCTTACTCCAAGTAAGCAAATGGCAATCATACTCAGCTAATTACAAAACAGTTTTCAGTTTAGTGATTTTGGGTCGAACAAACATTACTCAAGGAATATCGCATTCTTTTGCCACTTTGTCTGACTTGTGACAATTTTAGTATTTGGATTTTCTCAGTGCAGATATAGAGTCGACATCGCTGTCAATTTCTTCGTTGTCATCATCATCACCAACGACATCATCATCATCTATGCATCTACGAAGACTGCTACGTGTGGCAGTGTCAATGCACAGCGCGAGTGTGGCGCCTCAACTTAAAACTCAGTCGTCTCGCGACGTGGTGTCGACATCGATGGCTTCTTCTTCTTCTTCTTCTTCTTCACCATCATCTGCCCCACCCTCTTAGTTGGCGTCGCGCTGTGCGTGTCGTCCCGCTGTGGAGCGGAATGAGTCCGACTGGCGACCGGGCAATTAGTTGTTGCCCTCAGTGTGACTCTACGGCTGGGAACTGGGAACTTGGAACTTGGAACTGGGTGTAGCTTTCAACCGATTTTGGACAATTGTAGCGATATTGTTTATTGTTGCTGCCTCTTTAATTTCCAATGTTGATTGGGTGTTTGGTATTATCGAAGCATTTGTAATTATACAAATTATATTTTTCATATTACCAACAATGGCAATGGGCGTGTTTTGTACGTGCCTATATGTGACATGAGCTTCCCTCTCACCCCTCCCCGTCCCACACAAACACTCTCTCTCCTTTGTTGCTTATCATACATTTATGTCAACAGTTTTCGATTTTCGGGTTTTTGTTTGCATTGCTGTTGAGCTTTTAAAAATATTAGTTAACATTTATATCTATTGAGTAGATTATGAAAATACAACATTTCTTTCCGGCTTTTGTCGTTCGCAGCAATTCAATTAAATTAATGCATTTTTATTTCTCATAATTGGCGTTATATTCGATATATGTATGAAAGAAATGTAAACTTTTCGCTTAACCCAAGCAACAGATGAACCAACTACTAGTCAGCTAACCAAGTTATTGCCATGCCCCGATTAATTGTTGTAATAATCACCAAACGTAACAAGCTTTGCATATGAAATTAATTCGCCCTGGGAATGAAGTTACAGCGGGCAGGGCAGTGGGTGTGGGTGGGGGTAGATGGAGGCAAGATTATTATTAGCTAATGAATATTCGTGCCTGGAATGGAATGTTGTGGAATGAATTGTTGTGGCTACCTTTGTCCATAATATAATGAATTTCAGCCTGCAATGTTTATTGAAAAATTGTACTGGAAAAAAAACTTGGATGTTAAAGTGAACCAATAAAAGTAATTGGAATTTTTGTATATAAGTTGTTTAATCTGTTAAAATGTGAAGATGGTTTTTGATTTTAAATTTAGAAGCCCTGCCAAGTATGATAGAAATTCTTCAAGTAGAACGCAAATCAAGCTGAAAAGGAAAACCCATTTTAATAAACCCAATTGGATATGAACTTTGGATATAAGAACGCGCAATCCTATACATCAATTTGATTGGGAATCGAACAATCTTCCTGGTTTTACCATCTGTTTCACATTCATTCAAAGCTCCGCTAACAAATGGGTGCAAACATTACAAGAACATGAGAAATGGGCATGGCCATTAGTTATAGCCGATAGACGAAACGAACAAGATGTGTCAAATCAGTGTAACAAATCGAAGGCCTCTCCAACAACCAAACCTCCCTCCTTCCCTCCCCCCACTAGAATTTCTATTACCACTTATCCAATGAATGGCGCCAAAAAAAAAAATATATATATATGGAAAAGAAAAAAATATGACCGCAATTTTTGGGTATTGAACGAATGATTTAATTCATTGAGGGCAAATGCAATTTGTTTTGGCTTCACTGGCGGGAAATGAGGTCAACAGATCAAAGCGATAAAAATTGGTGCTGCAGCCAAAAATGCGTTACGGATGAAGACGACGGGGCTTTAGTCTGTCGTCCGTCATCTGTTCAATTGTTAATTGCAATTTGGGGTTAACAAATGTTCACACACACACAAATTGAAATCGAAATTCGAAATCGAAATGGAATGGAAATTGAATGTTCATTCAAATGATGCGTTGCGAGCGTTTTGCAACTTGTCATCTGTTCATCTGTGGGGAGGTCGTGCGATCAATTTGAAGCGGAAATTAGACGACAACCCATTCAACATATTCCAACGTACCCCAACCCCAACTCCCCACAGCGGGTAGATTTATTGTCACACGCGATGAATTAGACGCATTGATGATTGAATGAATGTCAGTGGAGAGTGCATTTCAATGTTGTGTCGCCTCGTAATGTGTTCTTAACTCTAGTGATCCCATTTGATCTGCTTCAAGGCCCGCTTTTCTTTTCTGTTTTTCTTTTTGTTTTTGTTTGTTTTTTTTATTAGCCAATATTTTGACAAATTTTGTGGATCCACCCTAAAAACCAGTCCACCCCAATACAAAACTGTCGAGCAGTCTTTTGCTGACGGACACTTGGCTGCTAATGGCGCATGCAACAAATTTCTCTGCATGATGTAGGCTATAATTAAGCGAGCGACATGTTGTTGCCCCAGCAGAGAAAAAGATGTTTTGTGCCCGATGTTTGTCGCCTCATAATTGTGCCACTTAATGTGGGCGTCAACATGTTGCGACCGACTTGTTCTCGATTCAGTATAACATGCACAATATTGTATGCAACATGAGGAGTGCTTGTGGTAGGAGTTTTAACACTTTGATAACACATTCAGGGGGGTGCCACAAAAAACTAAATTTATGAACTCTGAACAGCAATTGCATGAAATTCTTGAAATTGAGTGAGAGAACCTACCGTATACACATCGAAATAGTGCTTTTTGAGAGAAAGAGGGGAAATGGTTGATTGAAGAAGTTTGCTTCATTCCTTTTAAGCAACTCAAAATGCAACTTGCAACCCCACTTCTCCATATATATAACCTTTTTATTTGATCTTTGAAGCCATTTGTTCAGCTCATTTACTGAACGCTTGGCCAAACAATCTATGGCTAAGTGCAGAGCAATTATTCAGTCAATCAGTCATTCAGTCAATGATTTTCTCTGCCACCCCTTCCCCGCTCTTGCTTTTGGCATTGTATGAACGAGTATTTATTTATTTATTTTGGCCTGCAGCTGGAAATGGAAATGAAAATATTTTGACAATCGGCTGCATGTGGCGAGCTATGCTTTAGCTCCATGTTAGTGCAACAACGAGGTAATTATTTAGATCATTTGTTTGCTTTTTGCCCCGAGGGGGCCTCTCACTGCAAATGCGAGGGCTGTTGGGGAAATGGGAAAATGTGAAAGTAGACGAGCCTCGAGAGAGCTTTTCGTCGCATTCATAAATAAGCAATAACAACAACTTGGCGCCTCTCGTTAAACAAACAACTACGCTCCAAACAGATCAGCAAATAAATCAAATAGTATGTTTATCTTTTTTCTCTTTCTGCTTTTTAACTTAAGGGACAGAAATGTTTGAAGCTGAAAGCTAAAGTGCAAACTGAGAACATCTGTAAATAAAGAGAGTATTTGATGTGCTAAATAATATATAAAGAATAGTTTTAAACGAAGAAAGTAAACATAGCATTGTTCGTGTGTGTAAAATTACATAAACTTCATCTGCATGTGATATACCAGAACTTATGTTCTACATTTTCTACAGCTCTCATATCCTCTGAGATCCACGTGTTCATACACACGTACAAACAGATCCGGATGAAGAATATATATGGGAGAATATTTATAAAATATTATAAAGGTCAACGTGATGATAAGACATGTGTGCGAGTCATTATCATTAAAGAATATATATACTTTTGTGTCTTTACGTAATCTCATTTTTGATTATATATAATTATAATAAAACGGTATCCCACTTCCAAGAGAAACAATCTGTACTCCTCCTTATAAAGTTAACAGATAGAAGCTCTGTTTCTTCAGTCTTGTGCGATCTGTGCTCATTTAAAGTACTAAAATATTCAAGCCGAAATGCTGTTTCAATTTATTTGCACGGTGTTCCTATTATGCATATCTGTACAAACAAGTGGAGGGGAATGTGTTCGAAAAGATGAGAAACTGTCGTATATATCTCTTAAATTTGACAACAACACAGAAATACGTCTTCAGATCAAGGATATCGGCAGCAAAGTTGAGCAATTGCAGCTCGAAGAGATTAGGTTTGTATTGGAAACCCGACTTGTATTTCAAAAACATTTGAAAGATTCTTATCACCACATTTGCAGGCTAGAACTGAATCGTCAGAGCGAATTGCAGAATCGTCAGATCGATTTGCTGAATGAGCTTAAGGGTAAACTCAATGAGTTGAGTGAGAAATTCAATA